GAGTGGAGTCTTGTAGCCCCCACAGACAGGAAGCAGCAGAGTGAGCATCATCTTCAGACCAGGGAAGGTACAGGTCTGGAAGTGTTTTGAGGCTGTGGTAGGATTGAGACTGAGGAATTGGGTCAGCTGGGTTTTCTTTCTCAGTGTGAGTTAAGGGGTTGGTTTGAAAACCAGGGAGTAGATTAAGAAGAAAGGAAATGGATTAATATAACTGGTTATTGGGGTTGGAGCAGGGAGTCAGCTGGGCAAATACAGATTTGTGAGCAGCAATGAGGGGCCAGTTGGAGATTTAAAAGTGTGTGTTTGTAAAATGTCAGTAGCCAGTTAGATGGCTTGCCACCGTGCCAGGTGAGCCAAGGCAAGGAGCCTCAGACCCAGCTGGTGGATGCACAGGAGGGCTACCCTGGCCAGACTCTGGGTTTCCAACCTTCCCAATTCTTTGCCACAGGTAGCTTGGGAGGACAGAGAGCCTGCTCCATTCCCAGCAGACAGTTTTCTGCCGTGGTTTCTTCAAAGAAGCAGCCATTGTTCTGTTGTTAATCATTCTTCAGGCACTTTCTAAAAAATGCATTAAAATTCTTGCTCGTATGACCTCTTTCAATAATGAGATCTGTAAATTTATTAACCTCTGTAAGCAGTGAATCTCCTTGCTCCATGGGAGCGGGTAATCTCTGGTAGGGAATGAACATTAATGTGCAGCCCAGGAAGGCAAGCCCAATCCTGAGGGCATAGGCAGGGTGAGGGCAGCGTTGCTGGGCTGGCAGAGGCAGATTGCTTCTGCACATCACTGTCTCCATGGCCCCACTCAGTGAGTCAGGCAATGACCCTCAATGAAGCTGATCAGAGACTAAGCCACAACAAAGGCAGGGAGCCCTTGTTTCTCTTGATGAGTGTAATTTCCTAAGCATGAGAAGGGGAAGAAGGAGACGGGAGTGTTGAACCTTCTGCAGACAGGGATACCCAAGCCATGCATCCATTTCCACTGCCCTGGGAATCCTCTGGAGTTAGGGGCAGTATTAGGACATTTGCTCTATGATCATGTTGAACCACATTATCTATTATCCTGATGTTGGTCTTCAGATCAGCACAGATTTGATATTTGAGGTAAGCTTCCTGCAAAGCGTCTAGCTAAGGAGCATTGATATGTGGCTTCATCCTCATTCCCTGGGTATTTCAAGCTTGTTATGACTTGTCCCAGCCTGCCTGTCTTTTTTGGACCCTGAATACTTGACCCTTGCCTTATATTGTTTATCATGTAAAATATATGATACAGTGTTATATCTTTGTAATCTATGTTCCTCCCCTGCCCCTACCAACCAGACCAATGTTGCCAAGCAGAAATAGGAGCACCACTTTGTAATTTCCAATGTTGTAGTTGTCACATTAAAAAAGTAAAAAGAAACAGATGTGATTAATTTTATTATATTTCATTTCATGCATATATCCAAAATATGATCATTTATTATATTTCATTTCATGCGTCTATCCAAAATATGATCATTCAATATGTAATCAATAAAATAAATTAATAATGAAATATTTTATGCTGTTTCGTTTGGATGAAGCCTCTGAAACCTGGTATGTATGCTACACTGATAGAACATCTCATTTCGAACTCACCACCTTTCAGGGGCTCAGTAGCCAAAAGATTGTAGAGGAGAACAAGACTATGTGCTCCGCAAGCATCGGATTCATCTTTCTTGCCCTCTGCTGTTGTGTGCCATCGAGTCAATTCCAACTCATAGTGAATCTCTATGACAGAGTAGAACCACCCATAAGGTTTCTAAAGGTTGTAATATTCATGGAAACTGATCACCAGGTCTGTTTTCTGTGGCTTCAAATCAGTAAACTTGCAGTTGACAGCTGAGCTCTTACCCATTGTTCCTCCAGGGCTCCGTTTACCCCTTTGGTGGTTATGTGCCGTGGAGTCGATTCCGACTCATAGGGACCCTGTATAGCGTTTCTGAGGCTGTAAATCTTTACGGGAGCAGAAAGCCTCATCTTTCTCCCTGGAACGTAGTTTTGAGGAAATGAACATTAATTAATGACCTTGAGGTTAGCAGCCCCACTTGTAACTACTACGCTACCAGAGCTCCTTTTTACCTCTCTGTTGCTGTTGTTATGTGCTATGGAGTAAGTGACTCTGTATAGGGTTTCCAATGAACGGCTGGTAGATTTGAACCACCGACCTTATGGTTCACACCGACATTGCAGTTGAGTGCTTAAGGAATCCTTGTGGAAACAAATTATTAAGCACTCAACTGCTAGTCAAAAGGTTGGTGGTTCAGATCCACCAAGAGGTGGCTCAGAAGATATGCCTGGTGAGCTGTTTCTGAAAGGTTACAAGCCCCGAAAACCCTATGCAGTTCTACTCCAAACACATGGGTCACCATAAGTCGGAGCTGACCGGAGGGCAACTGCTACCAGCACAGTACCGTGTGTTGGGCCTGACACACAGCAGGAACTTTTGAATAAACGCATAAATGCCTCCAGAGTCCATACTTTCTCCATAATGCCACTCCTAGAGTTCTGAGTGCTAGGGTTGGAAATGAAGAAGAAAAAGTCTGGCGCCTAAAGTAGTATGACCCTAGCGGAGTCTCTAGTAGTATGTTGATGAGCCCAGGCTTTCAAGGAAAGTGTACTGAAGGTGGAGGTGAGAGGGGCATCTATCCAGGGACAAGTACAAGAGAGTGGCTCTGACTGCAGGGGACTGGGAAGACCGCTGTTGTTGTTAAGTGCTCGTAGCAACTCTGTAGAGGGTTTCTGAGGAGCATCTGGTGGTTCAGAGTCCAGTGCTGATCCTACAGCGCCATACCACGAGGCCTGAGGTGAGCCAAAGAGTGAATTCAGAAGAGACCACAGTTGTTGAGTGCAGAATGGTTAAGAGTGTGGGCTCTGGAGTTACTTCAATTGCTGGGTTTTGCGCCTTGGTTCCACCATTTATGAGCTTGGACAAGTTATTGGCCTTCCTGTGCTTCTGTTTCTCCAGTAATGAATGGGTAAAAGGATGCAATCTACCTCAGAGGCAATATGTTAAGGCAGTGTAAAGGGGAGTGACTCTTCTGGAAGGATACTAGAGAGAAGCAAATTAATTTGCTTCTCAAAAACTGAGAGCTTGTGTCTGGGAGTTTCAGGCCAGTGAATGTGAGACAATTGCTAAGAAGGGTCTAGAAACCCATCATTTGAAAGGTAGTTTGTGAGTGGTGAAGAAGGACAGAAGGCTCACCAGGAGCCTATAAGGTTGTGCTTATGAGAGGCCACTTCATACCATCTTGTTTCCTGTGGAGATAAAGACAGAATCTAGGACCTGGGCAGATGGGGCCCATCTGCACCATCGACAAGGTCTCTTGATTCCCCTCTGGATCTATTAGAGAAATGTAGACGATCCAAAAAGGGTTCAAGGCAATGGTGTTGCTATTATCCTGGGTTCAAGGCAATGGTGTTGCTATTATCCTGGGCAGAGCTTGCTGGGGCCCTACCCAGTACAATCCTTGTTGAATTTCTAGAGGAAGGAGGGTCTCCATGATATGACATTCGAAGCTCCTCCTGGGTGGAAACCTGGAATTGCTACCCAAAAAATGTCTCAACTGGTTGAAATAATAGGCTTGAGATAAAAGGTATTGATGCTAATTTGAAGATCTTATGGCGCTGTGGGCTAATGCGTCAGACTGGAAAGTCGTTTGAACTGCAAGGTCGGTGGTTCAAGCTCACCAACTGCTCCTTGGAAACCCTATACAGGGTCTCTATGGGTCAGAATCGACTCGCCGGCACTAAGCAACACAACATACGTTAATAAATAAAAAATGATTGATTCTTGTCGTCTGCTTCTTACGTGTCAGACTAGGAAGACAGTAGAGAGTAAAAACTTACTTGGCTCCTCTCCCATGGAGTTTCCATTCTAGTGAGGAAGATAAACTCCACCTCCTTCATCCCCTTACTCGCCAGTACACCCGCACCCCCCAAGGAAGAAAATAAAACTGTACATGGAACTGTAAATAAAATAATTGCAAGTTGTGTTCAGGTCCACAAATGAGGGCTGGGTCCTACTTTAAAGTGTGTGGCTATGAGATGGCTCTGTGAAGAGGTGACATTTAAGTTGCATGCAAACCAAGGGAATAGAACATTCTAGGTGGAGGGAGGAGCAAGTGCAAAGACCTAATGTGGGAAGGAGATGCCTGGAATGTTGGAGAAATTGAAATCAGACCAGCAAGGTTGAACTGAAGAGAAAGAATGAGGGAGCCAGGAGAGAGTGCCCTGTCTGAGGTTAGAGACAGAAGCAGGCAAGATAAGATTGGGCTTGGTCTTGCAAGCTGGTGTGGCCTTTGGATTTTATTTCAGAATGAGATTTTAATGAGAATGAATAAAATGGGAGGGTTTTAATCAGGGATAGAATATAACCTTTATGTTCTAAGAAAACTGCTTTGGTACTCTTCAGAGAATGGATGGGAAAAAGACACATTCCTGAGAAAGATCACTTCCTTGGCCGGCTTAGGCTTTGAAGGTTGCAGGGAAAATGAAGGGAAGAAGGCCGATTTGACAGATGTTTTGGAGATGAATATGTTAGGGCTTTTAGATGGACTGGGTGAGAGTAAGGGGTGAGGGAGAGGAGGTCAAACAGAGAACCCCTGGTTCTGGTTTAGCTACTAATATATGTGGGGAAGCCAGTAGGAAGATCAGATTAGGGGTAAAGGACTCAATTTCAATATCAACCTGTTAAGCTTGAGATAGTAAGAAGAGCTGGGGAGGAAGCATTTAGCAGCGGAGAAGTCCAACAGGAGATAGGTGGGGCAAACTCATCAGGAGTGATGGTGGACAGAGAGGGGAGGGCTCAGGATCAAGCCTGGAGCATCCATGGTTTAGATGGCAGTGGGGAGGAGGGAGACGGGTGGGTGGTGTCAGGGTGATCGATGAAGTGTCTTGAGGAAGAGGAGTTGTGTGTTGATGTTGGGTACTGCTAGGCTGAGTATGAGAAAAGCAGAGGCGTCCTAGGAGTAGGCAGCATGGAGGCTGTGGGTGCCCCTGACCTGAACCATGTCAGTGGCCAAGTGGGGCTGGAAGCCAAGTGGGTTGGAATTTGAATATGGGGCTTGTGAGGGAAGAGATGAGCCATTTTTCAAGCAGTTGACTGCTAAGGAGGCAGAGGAATTGAACAAAAGCGCGAGAGACTATGGGTAAAGGAAGAGCTTATCAAGATAGGATGATAGTAGGTGTAGATGCTGATGGAGGATGATGGTGGAGCCAAGGACTTGGGAAGTGGAGAGAATTAGATCCAGAGTACTAGGGGGAGAATCTTCCTTTGAGGGAGAAAGGGAAGCATCTTTCCTCAGAATGGAGGGAAGGAGTCCGTAGTTGGGGCAGATGCAGGCAGATTAGGGTTAGGCAGGAAGATGCACAGATTCCCATCTGTGGCAGGGTCATCAGCTGAGAGTGAGGGTGGAGGACCAGGCGTGGGAAGTTGCAGGAGAAAGAAGGTATGAATTGTTGTTTAGGAATGGGTGGCAAGCCTACCAGAGAAACGCAGGCTTGTGAGGCATTGCAGACTGATGACAGTTTGAGGTCAGAGAACATAAATGTAAAGTGAAACTTGTCCACCCAGTTTGGTGATGTTGTCCAATTGCTTGGGTGTAGGCATGGAAAAGGCAGTTGGAAGATGCATCAGATTGGGCCTTCGTCAGGCTGGGGAGCCAGTCATTGATAACAATGATATTAACTAGCCCGTTGCTATTGACTGTGACTCATGGGGGCACCATGTGCCAGAGTAGAACTGTGAACCAGAGGGTTTTTAAAAACAGCTGTGGTCTTTTTTTTTTTTTAATGTTTTATTGTTAATTATGTGATCGTTTACATGGGAGAACAGTAGCTTTACATTCATCGTATCATACATCGTTTCATTGCCATGATTACAGTCCCTTCCAGGCATCATCAGCCAACCAAAACGTATACCCTGCAAGCCTGCCCCCCAGTCGTTAGCACACAGCCCTTCTCCCTCTCTGGATCTAAAGTCCCCAGCCACTCCATATCTCCACGTCAACGTCTCTGCCTCCAACTCTGGCATCACTGTTTCTCTGGGTAGCGTCCCACACTCCACTCTTCTCCCTTGATGGTTCCAGGGACCTCCACTCCTGGCCTTGCAAAGTCAATCACTCCCCTCCTTTTGCTACAAAACGTCTACCTTTACATTTCCAACCCTTATAGTCCGTCCTGATAGCAATTATTCACTATTGTACCACAAGAGTCCTATCCCCATCTCCTTGCATCAGCCCTGCCTAGACAGATTGGATACTACTCAGTAGAGATTCTAACTTCCTCTGCACCCTCTGTATCTAGGCTCCCTCTTGAAAGCTTGTAAGCCAGTCACTTCTTGCCTTTGTAGCCCTCCCCCCCCAAATTTTGCGTAGCCAATGTCCAAGTTGCCCATCCCTGTCTACTCTGTATATGGAGGGGGTGGGAATGATCCTTGTTGTAAAGATTTGTTGCCTCTTTTGAATAGCTGTGGTCTTTAGGAAGTAGAACTCCAGGCCATCTCCAAGGTGCCTCTAGATGGACTTGAACCCCCAATTTCTTGGTTAGTAGCCAAGTACTTAACAATCTGTGCCACTCTGAGGCCTTGATAAAAATGGTAGACCATAGACATGGGCCATTCAAGTAAGAAAGTGAAGCCAGGAGGTGGCTGGTGGTGAGAGGGAAAGTCCGCAGGCTAGTGGGAAATACTTACAGAAGTACGATACGAGGATGAACAATGTGGGCAGGGGATTGGAAATTCAACGTTACAGGTGTTGCCTTCTTGCTCATGAGGGCAGCGGGGCATGGTTGCAGGAGAGGGCCAGTGCAGGGGAGTAGGGAAGAGGGCATTGGAGTAGATGGGAGGCAGGTGGCTGGAATGGCTTAGCCTCAAAGGACACATGTATGTGCTGAGGGAAGCTAAGTGATCAGGAGCCACTAAGGACCCCTTTTCCTTCTCCCCTTCTTCTGCATATGTGGGGACAAGGGGAGCAGAACAGTTGTCTCGCTGGAGAGAGGTTGTGTTCTCAGAGACTAGTCTGATTTCAGTTAAGGCATGAAGGTCAGTGGTCAGGGTTGCTGGCGCCTGCAGATTTCTGAAAGGATTGGGGAGCCAGGGGAGGAGGAAAGGACAGGGTCAGACTTGGGAATGTATACAGCAGGGAAAGCCTGGGTGCTAGAGGGTGGCTGGGAAGGTGTGGTCTCTTGGCTGTCCTGGAGGTCAGCCAGTGGGAGAGTTTACATCTTGGAATGTGTGAGTGGGGCTGACCATTGAGTATGAGGAAGACTTGGGGATTTCAAGTTGATGGTGAGCTCCGAGTGAGTCTTCCATGGTGATGTGGTTACACCAACGCTGATTCAAATGTTGAAGACAGTACTTGAAGTATGATATAGCTAGAGTAAAGGTGTTGGGCTTGCTTTGTTTTGCACCTAGAATATTGTACTTGGTTCCAAGCACCAGAGGTCACCCAGATTTAGATTTGTGGAAGGATTTGGAGGTGAGAGAGAGCAGAGTGGGATCTGGGGGCATGGACTTGTGTCCCAAGAAGAGGTTTGGGGGAAAGGTTCCTAATGTGGTGTCTCTGGATGTAATTCAGGGATCTGTATGAGCCCCTTGCTCCTCCAAAACTGTATTTAGAGTTGTATATGTTTATGCACTTATCTAGAGAGGAAGTCCATGTTGTTGTTGTTAAGTGCCATCGAGTTCCAACTCATAGAGACCCTGTATAGGGTTTCCAAGGAGCAGCTGGTGAGCTTCAACTGCTGACCTTGCAGTTCAAACCTATCTTGCAGTCCAGCACATTAACCCACAGCATCACACCAGGATGCCATGTTTTTTTAAAAATTACATTTCCAAAGGGATCCTTGATCCAAAAGAGATTTCAAACCACTTGTTTAAAGGAGAACTTGGCCGAAAGATGCAGATGGGCTTGACAAGAGCTCTCTCTGTGTGGGTGATCGGCTGCCGTTTGTGGGTAGAGTGTGTGGTCTGTGTGGAGCCAACTGGTGAGACTTGGTTAGTGGCAGGCAAGTGCAGGAGGCTGGGTTTGGCTTTGTGTGGACACCTGAGAGCTCATACCACAGGTGGGGTATGCACAGGGCAGGTAGGAGGAGGTGGGCTGTGATCCTGGCAAAAAGCATTGTGCAAGCCTTGGTGTTGCGGTGAGTAAGCAACTCTGGGTGTTGCCAGATGTTATGGATTGAATTATTGCCCTCCCCAAATATGCATTATAAATCCTATTATTATAATCCCATCAGGAATGGGCTGTGTTTGGTATGTTACTGAGGCAAGGTCAGTGTTGAGTGTATCTTGGGTCAGTCTCTTTTGAATTCCAAAAGAGATTACACGAGCAGAGATGAGGTAAGGTAGATGCCACGACATATGGAACCAGAAAGTAGAAGCGGAAGAAACAAAGTCCTCCTACAGAGAGAGTCTACCAGAGAGACTTCCCCAAGAGCCGGTGCTCTGATTTTGGACTTGGAGACTAAACGTTGAGAAAATAAATGTCTATGTTTTCAAGCCACCACTTTTGCTATTTCTTTTACAGCTGCACTAGATAACGAAGACACAAGATTTCCTGCTTCTCAGGGAGAGTATTGAGGACTAAGCTTTTCTGTTGTTGTTGTTGTTAAGTGCCGTCGAGTCGGTTCCGACCCATAGCGACCCTGTACAGGGTTGCTATGGGTCGGAACCAACTCGATGGCACATAACAACAACCTTGGAGCAGAGCCTGGCAGTGTTTCGTTTTGTTGTGCGTGGGAATCACCGTGAATTAGGGTCCAACTCAGCACCAGTGGCTAATAGCAAAAGCAACATGTGCCTTAGAGGCAGAGCAGGTGGCGTCAAGAGAGGATAGAAATCAAAGTCGTTACCATTGCCTTTCTTCTTGTCTTCATTCCCCATTCCCCATTCCCCGGCAGTGGGAGCCCATAGACAAGGGGCTTAGAATAGAACGTGTGTTCTCTTTTAAGCATATACAAGTTATGACTTAAAAATTAATGAGATTAACTTAGAGTTCAAGATGAAGGATTCAGCATGTGTGTTTATTTATACTTTCCCTCCCTAGAACTCATTAAAATGATAATAAAGAGATTTTAAAATGTATAATCGGTTGACAGCATAGTGAATGGAGGGGAATTATCAGCAGCTGAGAGATTGCAGGCATGTTTCAGGATGAGAGACAGCAGATGGAAAATGCTAATATTGGAAATACAGCAAAGGAGACTACAGCCCAGAATACAAGTGAAAGTGTTCTTGGTGGGGAACCCTTTCACATGTGTTCTGCTCCGGAGAACCTTTGAGTAGAGTCCCAGGCCCAGCTGAGGGCAGGAGTGTGAAGTGATACTAAGAACAGGTTTTAATTGAAGGTCTAGGGCACTTGTGTTTGTCAGGGGGGAGGGAGGGAGAAAGGAGGGTGAGTGAATTTCCTTGGCAGAATTAAGACTGGCAGTGTGGGTGTTGACATTCTAGAAGAGTCTTCCTTGGATGGATCCCAGGTAGGTAGGTGGATGGTGTCGGAAACTATGGTACTAGGTTAGATCTCTTAGAGAAATAGTGTGGAACGCTCCAACCTTTATGAGTCAGGAAAAGAAGGCAGAGCCAGCCCAAATAAACTCCTTATCAGCAAAGATGGATGCTAGAAGATTGTAAAACAAGGCGTTCAAAGTCCTGAGGGAGAATTATTTTTTAATCATTATAAAAATATATAGATAGATACTCAGTGTGGTAGGTTGGAAAATGTGCTCTAAAGATACCAGGTCCTAATCCCTGAAATCTGTGAGTGTCAATTTGTCCAGAAGAAAGGATCTTTGTAGGTGTGATTAAGTTAAGAATCTTGAGATGGGAAGATTGTCTTGGATTATCTAGTTGTACCCTAAATGCAATCCTAAGTGTCCTTCTAAAAAAGAGGCCAATGGAGATAGGATGACACATCTGTGGGAAAGACACTGTGGCCAAGACAGACAGACAGACCTGAAGCGGCCGTGCTGTGGACTTTGGGTGTAGAGGAATACGACGACCAAAGCTAGCAAAGGCAGGAAAACGGATTCTCCCCTAGAGCC